TAGTAAAACTTAATGAAAAGTATCTGCAACACTTTACGCAAAAACAACATATTAAAATTCGCTTTCCAGACAGAGCATTTTCAAGCAAAAATGGCATTATTACCTAATAAATAGGAAAGTAACTGGCTTCAAAATATTTATTAGTGATAATAAAGCAAAAATGAGGTATTTGAGGCTGCAGAAAGACTCGCGTTTCTTCCGTACGTGAAGCAACAGATCAATCAGGCGCACAGTGGGGGGGTGGGAGGTGGAACAGACCCAGCAGTAAGGCTTCTTGCGCACATTGAGCCTCATCTGTCTCAGAATAAGTGCAGAAATCCGAATYGAGCCTGATCCCACGTTTGAAACAAAGTTTAGTTTCCAAATTGAAAAAAAAACGAAGCTCAGTGCTCATCAAAAAAAAATCTAACAATGAATCTCTTCTGCCTCTGACGGCAGCATCTTTCCTTCCATCAACTCTATCACACAACCTGCAGATCCTCTCAGCTTTGCGCCACCCTGTCGCGAAATCCAATACATCTGCTTTCCCATGAATTCAGGATATCAGCCTCTGCCCCCCCAGCTCGTGCATTCCCTTTAAATGATCACACCCTCCAAGAAGGAAGAAGAAGAAAAAAGATACACAAGTTTAAGAAATGGAGCATCTTTGTTATAATAAAAGCTTCATACCTGTGCAAAATAGCCGGTGCGTGTTGTTGGCAMGCCTCACAGAAGCTCATTGTAGGAGCCTGCCTTCTGCCTTCTGCAAAGGGCTCCAGACATCAGAGCATTTATTTGAGCTCAAACTCTGTCACTGTTGACTTTAGCACAAAGCAAAGATTTCACTGCCACGCTAGTTAAAAMAAATGATTATTTTACAGAGATATCGATCAGTGCGCTATAAAAAAAATCAGCTTAGCATTATATGTGTAAAATGAATAGAACCAAACTTAATGTCTGTGTAAATTTACAGAGCTGCGGCGTCCTATTCAAAGTTTACACTTGTGCAATTTGGTTTGTGTGTGTGTGTACTCTTCCTATATGTGGGCACAGCCTCCACTCCATTGTTTACTGCCTTTGTTTATTCGCAGATCACGCTGTTTAAAGTGCGATCTGCAAAGAGGGTCTGGAGAATAAACGCGCACTTTTGGCCCTACGTGTTCAGAAGTCCAAGGGGGTGTCGTTTGGGGTTGGACAGGGAGCAGAAGCGTCCTGTGGGCGCACCCCCCACCCCAAACCATCCCTTCACGGCCTTTATAGATGACAACTACAGCTTGTCTTATCTAACAAGAAGGGAGGATCCGGCTTCTTTAAAAGTAGGGAGCAGACAATGGACCCCCAGATTGTGAGGAGAAGAAGTTAGAGCATCACATTCAGGGCTGCTCTGTTCCCAAATCAGGCTCCTTTCCAGCAACTATTCTCCTGCGCCGCGGGAGGCTGTTTTATGGGACAATACCACTTAATCTCATTCACTGATCTACACTTTGCAGTGTGTATGTGTGTGTGTGTGTGTGTGAGTGTAGAACAGAGAGAAATACAGTTTGTGTGTGCATGTGACTGGCAGGAGGTTTGATTGACACAAGTGTGTTTTTGTTCAAACGAAAACCTGCTTGTTTATTATCTCACCCAACTTTGGAACAATTCAGCAGAGGCTAAATGAGCTAAAATTAAAATCTATTATAATTATTTGTGCACAAAAATATTCAAATTATTATGC